GAAGGAAGGAAGGAGCAGGAGGACGACAAGGACTAGGAGAAGGAGAAAGGAGGAGGAAGAGGAAGAAGGAGGAGGAGAAAGAAAGGGAGAAGAAGAAGAAATAGAAGAGGAGAAGGAAAGAGGAGGCGAAGAAAAGAAGAAAAAAGGAAGGAGGGGAGATGATGGTTATGGAGGAAGGGAAAGAGTGGAAGGAGGAGGAGGAGAAAAAGGAAGAGGAGGAGGAGGAAGAAAATGATGAAGGTTATGGAGGAGAAAGAGTAGAGGAGGAGGAGGAGAATAATGAGGAAGTATGATGGAGGAGGAGTAAGGGGGGAGAAGAGGGAGGAGGAGAAAGAGAAAAGGAGAAGAAAAAGAAGAAGAAATAAAAATAGAAGAAAAAATAGAAGAAATGAAGAAGAAAGGAGGAGGAGGAGAAATAGAAGGAGGAGGAGGAGAAAAGAGGAAGGAGACACAAGAGAAGGAGAAGAAATAGAAATAGAAGAAATAGAAATAGGAGAAATAGAAGAAGGAGAAAGAGAAAAGGAGGAATAGAAGAAAAAGAAATAGAAGAAATGAAGAGGAGAAATAGAAAAAGGAAGAGAAGAAATAGAAGAAGAAAGAGGAGGAGGAGGACAAATGGAAGGAGAAAGAGAAAAGGAGAAATAGAAGAAGAAATAGAAATAGGAGGAGAAACACAAACTAAAGAAGACCCCTCCAAGCAGCCTTCCCCTCCCTCCCGCCCACCCGCCGCGGGGCTCCCACTTGCCCACCGTGGAGTCCGTGTGCGGCGGGGGGGGGTGAGGGTGGGGGGTCCTCACCTCCGTGTAGATGGAGGGCGTGAGGTAGCAGAGGAGCCGGATGTCGTCCTCCTGGCAGGCCTTCATGTCCATCATCAGGCAGGTGTGCAGGTCGCCCAGCTGGGTGGCCTGAGCGAAGGACTCGTAAAGGTTCATCTTCCCGGCCGCCGCTTTGCTAGAGGGGGGGAAGGTTCAACCACGGGAGGTTCGAGGAGGGCTCTCTCTCTCTCTCTCTCTCTCTCTCTCTGTGTCTCTCGGGCCCTCGCTCTCCCTCGCTTCGGAGGGCAAGGGCCGTTTCCCCCGCCCCCCCCCCAGCCACACCCAACCCTCCTTCCGCCCCGTAGGCCTAACCCTCACCTGGCCTTTAAGTAGTAGAGCAGGTGGTACCCGATCTTGGGCTGCTTCTGATACAGCTCCGAGAGGAGGTCCAGCAGGACCGAGAAGCTGCTGTTGTCTTCCTGCATCTGGCAGAGGTTCCTGAAAACGGGGGC